ACATGAAAGCTATTTGAAGATGTTAAATTAACCTGACAAAATGAAAAGACAAATGTAGCAATAATTTTTCCTCACTGAAAAAATGCACGTTCCATTAACAGAAACAAGAATATGAGTCTGCTATGCTAAACCAAACCAATTTGGAACTTTAAGAATAGAAGCAGAGAGATTCTTAGATCTCAAAAAATATTTAGACTCACAAGTGTTCTGCACGCAATAATAAATGGTTGGAAGAAAAACAATCTTGATTAACTATTTTTCATAAAAATTTTTCATAGAAAGGTTCTACCACAATCATTCACATTAGCAGTGTTCATTATTTAAAACTGTGAACACCATAGATTCAGTGAGAATTAATGGAATTGTTTAAGAATAATAAATAGTACCAATTCTTATCTATTTCTCAAGTGGAAACAAAATGCATAAAAAATAAAGTAAATAATAAATTGATTTTCTTATTAGCCTTGAACTGGGGTACACCTGTAGAGAATGTAGGTAATATGAAGTAAGAAAAGAAGTAGGAGCTGTGCAGTACTAGTAAGAGGGATGTGTAACTTCCCAAAGGCAATCAGCCTTCCGTAGGAAAGTATTTGTTGAGCTGATATGTCTTAGAGTCAATTTAATACTGGTTTCAGGTTTTTCTCACTGCATTTGAGCAGCAGTTCTGAAGCCAAATGTTATAGGGTGGGCACATCATAGGGTTTAGAATTACATAAGACTGAGTTGAAAGTCCAAACCCAGAACCAATTTGCCATGTAAATTTAGGATTATATCTTTTCTGAACAAACTTCAATTTTCTAATCTGTGATGAGATTATAATATCAAACTTGCAAAAACATTGTGTTACTATATTAGTAAGGGTTCCCCAGAAAACAGAGCCAATGGGACATGTAAAACATGTGTGTATGTATGTAGAGATAGATATAGCATTTGTTATCAGGAAGAAATTGGGTCAAGCAATATGGAGGCTGCAGGTGGCCAAATGTAGACCCAGGAAAGTCGATGGTGTAGTCCAGTGCAAGTGCAAAGACCCCACAACCAGGAGAACCAATGGTAGAAATTCCAGCCTAAGTTCAAGGGCCCTTGTTTCAGCCCAGGGTCAGATCAGCAAAATTCTTTCTCATTCAGCCTTCTTATTCTATTCAGGTCATCAACTTATTAGAAAGGGCAATAATCTGCTTTGCTCAGTCTACAGATTCAAATATTTGACCAATTATCTGGCACCCCAAGACCCAGTATTCTTGACACTTATAACAATAAAATAATAGAGGAAATGACAGTGTCCTCAAATATGGTAGATGCTCAACAGGTTTAACTCCTGTGTATAGTTTCCAAGCACTGAAGTATATGAAGCATGGGCCCTCTAATATTGCTATCTAACATGGCTTTTAGAGAATAGAGATCTCACGGTTTAATTATGAAACTGAGATTAATCAGAACCAGGCAAAAGGAAAGAAAAAATAGTTTAGAAAACTGAAAAAGTGAACGTGACCTTAGCGACCTTTAATATAGGGCATTAATGATATCCCAGTCAGGAACAATAATAAATTTACCAGTTAAAACAAAAACAAACAAATAAAAGAATGCATTTATTACATCTGGGAATATATAGCAAAACAGAGTCACATAATCTCAAGCCCAAGTCTTCAGGGGTAAGTCTTCATATGTTAATATATTGTCTCTCTCCACAGAGAGAATGGCCTTAAATAGCTTGAAATCAAATCTTCCATAAAGTTGCAAGGAGATTCTAGAGAGACTTATCAAGGGAAAGAAAAAAGTACATAAAGTGGTTGTTTCTCCTGAACACAGTTGAAATGAGGTTGAGAAGAAACTCATTTGTGGTTGAGGTATATTAGCCCAGAGCTGAGGAAGCCTCTATCCCTCACATCAATTAAAAGTGACAGCCTCTGCTGGAAGAAACACGGAGAAATAAAGTATATGATGCTTCTTCATTACTATGGGAATGGGTTAGGTGCTTCAAATGATACTTTCTGCCTTTCGTCCTGATTTAACATGGCACTCATTATCACGGGATAAAGCTCCTCTCACTTGTACACTGTCATGTAAATACTCATGGTTAGAGGTTAGTGTGGCTGTCTTACCCAATTATTTTCAAAAACCCTTTTTAAATCTGCCAATTGCATGGCTAATTAAGAGAAGTTACCCAAACTAGTGAGTGTAAAGTGTCCACTAACTCAAAGTAGGGGAGATGGGAGAAATAAATCTATCAGAGCAGTGCACCTGTAGTTATTACATCCATGGCAATGACAACTAGGATATCTGGGGCCCAAAGTGCTCTGAATCCCAGAGGCAGCACTTTAAAGATTCATTCCCTGGTAATGGCTTCTTCTCAGCAAGGTGCATCGAGCATGGAGTGCTGAGTCATTCTTCTTAAATTGAACAGATAGATTACAAATGATAGTTGGAAAGGACATCGGAGGTGGAGGCAGCTCTTTATCAGCTTATAATTTAATTTTATGAACTCATTTGATGAGTTTTAATTTCCTCCTTTCAGAGTCTTATCTGGAGAAGCTACTTAATTTATGCTGGCCTTTGAAAATTGTACCAGGCTTTCTGTACTCACTGATAAATACATATTCCACCATCTTACATTTATATAGAAAATACATCATGCTTTCTTATTTCTAAAATTAAACATAAATCTAGTGAAATTTTAGTTAAAAGCTGGTTTATGTTTTAAAGCCCATGAAATAAGATACCAAGCTCTATTATCTTTTAAAGGAAGACAATAAGTTACTACAAATTAAAACATGTTATTTTAGTAGCTTATTCCCTGTGAATACAGGGAATCTCTGTATTCACAAACAGTGCTTTCCTGAATGTGTATGAAGATCAGATTACTGAGCATAGAATAAAAATATACTTTTAAATTCATAGCATATTTCAGTCTTATTCTTGAGGATACAGAAGACTTGTCACCATTGCTGCCTTTAGCCATTTAATTAATTACATGTTGTATATGTTCAAGTCACCTGGATAGAGGACTTGAATTATAGTTATGTCTGTATAGCAGTTGACAGGTTTCAAACATATTACTTTTATCTTATATTATTGATCCAGAGAATAAGAGAGAGCCAGCCCTAATATAAAACTTCACTTTCAATTTCCTAATCTGCAAAATAAACTTAATTGTAGTATGTCTATATGTCTATTGTGAAGTTTAAAAGGGATAATCCATCTAAAGCATTTTGCATGTCCAGAATACATAAACTTCTCAATGAATGTTGTTGCAGTTATCGATGTTACTAAGAAAGCTTCCAATAATCTTTTGACCCTACCAGGATGTAGCATCAGTTATATCTCCTACTTCTCTCTTTAGCCCCATAATAAGCTGTTTTTTCCTCATCACCTGCCAGAAATTTTATGGTAAATCAGTAGAATCACAGTCTAAATTTTCTTACCCTCTCTGCTTACATTATACCCAAAATTCTTGTTAATTCCGACTTTCTGCCTACTCCATATATGTCTGCACCTGTAGTGTAACTGAATGGAGATGACAACAACAACACACACACACGCAGCATTCTAATTTGCCTAACTTTATAGTCATACCCACATACCTCAAGTTAGCTCTTAATAGAGCCCAGAAATCCCAGTATACTTCCCCTGGCCCTCCATTCTCCAAGAATCTAGTCAACAATTGTATACCCTCCTTTATGTAAATCTCTATGCATCCTTGTTATCTTCACTCTCCTTCAGATCTTTGTTCAAATGCCAACTTGGCCTTGGCTAGTGTGGCTCAGTGGGTTGAGCACAGGCCTGTGAACTGAGGGGTACCCATTCAATTTCAGGTCAGGGCACATGCCTGGGTTGTGGGACAGGTCCCTGGATGGGGATGTGTGAGAGGCAACCAATGAATGTCTCTTTTGTACATTGATGTTTCTCTCCCTCTCTTTCTCCCTCCTTTCCCCTCTCTCTAAAAATAAATAAAATCTTTTAAAAATGCAACTTGGATCAGTAATAATCCTATGATGCTATTTAAAATTATGATCCCTGCCCTGGCTGGTGTAGCTCAGTGGATTGAGCACGGGCCTGTGACGCAAAGGGTCTCCAGTTTGATTCCCAGTCAGGGCACATGCCTGGGTTGCAGACCAGGTCCCCAGTAAGAGACACATGAGAGGCAACCACACATTGATGTTTCTCTCCCACTCTTTCTCCTTCCCTTCCCCTCTCTTTAAAAATAAATAAAATATTTTTAAAAATAATAAAATAAAATAAAGATCCCTACCCAAGCCTCAGAATTCACCCTCCTTGCCTCACTCAATATTTGTCCCAGTACGTAACTCTGTCTAACTTGCCACATAAGCACTTATTTCATAGGCACACTGTTGTCTTCTGTAAGAGAACGTGAGCTCCACAAAGACAGAAATTTTGCAAACAAAACCCACTTTATTTACACATATATCTCAATAGCTTACAACACTGCCAGGATCATAATGGGTATCTTCAATGCATACTTGAATGAATGAATCAACATAAAAGGGACATTTTATTAAGGTAGAAGGATTAAGAAGTACAAATAGGTACTTACAAAATAGTCACAGGGATGTAAAGTACAGCATAAGGAATATAGTCAATAATATTTTAATAACAATGTATGGTGCCAGGTGGGTACTAGAAATATCAAGGGAACACTTTATAAAGTATATGACTGTCTAACCACTATGCTGTATACCTGAAACTAATAAAAAATAATATTGAATGTCAACTGTGACTGAAAAATCGAATTTAAAAATAAATAAATGAACAAAGATAACAGAAAAAGAATAATTTCTTTAAAACGGATAAGCAACTGGAAAATCAAGCAGAAAGGTCCTGTTTCCTCAGTGATGAGGAAAGGCTGGGCTGAAGGTTAACACTTGGTCAGGGAGCAATAACGGGTCCCTTCTGCCAAGGAGAAGGACACAGGGTAATAATGACCAGATAGAGACCAACTGGCGAGAGATTTTGGAGTTGATCAACATCTTAGGTGGACATACCTTAGAAATGCTCTGCAGGTTGATCAGGCAAGCTGTTAGTGTTGTCTCTGTCCTGGGAGTAGAACCTGGGGAGAGAAAAAGCAGTGAGCTAACAAGGGGCTGAGTTCTCCAGAGCTGTGGTAGAAGCAGTGAGAGCAAACACAGGAAGCCTGCCCCTGCATCGCCCCCACCTGGCCTCAGAGCGCACAGCAGCTGCGACGCAGAAGAGACCAGGAGCGTTCTCATGAAGACGCAATCACGTGATGTGGAAAGGCCTTTGGGACAAATGCACTGGAAGGCCTCAGATTTAGCTCTGACAACACTCAACTGTGCGACAAACATTAACTACTTGGGGCTGAAGTGGGGTTTTTTGCTTATAAAAGAGCTTATGAATTTAGGCATATTTGTTCTCAATTTCTTTCAATACTTTCTACATTTTTATCTTGGAAATAGAGTTTTCAATCTCAGGCCTCTGCCTTTTTGACCTAAGATTCATCTGAAGATAAATTACATAACCAACTGGGAAACTGAAACTGGTCCGAATTCTATGGTTTCCTACAAACTCCCAAAGTCTATCTATAAAACCTGAAGTATGCCTAGTTTTCAAAAGTTAATACTTATTTCATAAGTGCCTTGTGGGATGTTTAAGGTATATCATCTATAAATTAATTTTTAATGTATATATCTATGAAAAAGATGAGTTGGTGAAAAAAATAGAATAGCTTCTTCCAATGAGAAGGATACCATACAAGTAGAAAAACTAGGAACAAAAATTTTAACTATTACTCAAGGGGATTTAGCAAAAGAAATAAAGGCAGAATCCAGTCTGTCTGGTTGACAGAGAAGAGAAATATACTAAATGAAATAACCTGGCTCGTGGCACCAGTGAACCAGACTCGAGTGCCTAAAGCAGGGAAAATGCCCAGCCACTCTCTGGGGACCACTCTGGTGAACCCTCATCTGCCTCTGATGCTCAGTGTCTCCAACACCAGGCCCAGTGCAGGACTCTCCATTCCAACATCCCCAACACAAGGAGTGTGTCAGCTACCACATTGGTCAGAAGGTCAGTTCTCCCAAGCTCAGCTCCCTGCTCACATTTCCGCCCCCCCAAAACCACATTGTCTTCTTATTGGTAGAACCTAAGCCACATGTATAAGTTAATTAATGAAAACATAGACTAAAGAAGATATATATATTATATTATATATTTATATATAAATGCATATGATTTATAATTCTCTCCAGATCTAAAAACCATTTATCACTAAATTGTGCCCTTGGAAGCTATTGACCACATATTTATATTTTAGGATCCCAAATTGACTTTTTCCACTGCACTGATTTTTTTTTAGGATGAATAAGTTTTATCTTTTCCAGTCATAATCATCCTTACATATGAGAAGATTAAATCTATTTAAAATTAGCTTTAAGTGCATATGTAATACATGAATGCATTCTTCTTTAAAAACAAAACAAAAAATGGGACATTGCTGTCACCACAGTCCATCACCCTCAGTCTTGGCCTCTTCCTCATCTCTATGGAAACCACCATTACCCATCTGGTAAGTTTCCTTCCAGATAGTTTCCACTCCCACTTCCCTTAAGATCTGAGCAACTGAGCCAGTTATTAATTCTATGGCTGAATTAGACAAGTATTGATTTTTATACCAATGGACTCAAACAAAAAGACAGGTTTTTCGAAAATAAGGGTTGACTAGTATTACATTTAGAAAACCACTGGCTAGTTTAAAAAGACACTGTCCCACAATCTCATTTTTGACAAAAGTCCAGATATTTTTTTAAATGTCTTCTGAAACTCAAGCAACCAATTTTATTCGTATAATGCTTTAATTTATCATGTGTTTAAAAATCAAACCTGTACTTTCAGGCAAGCCACTTACATAGTTAAATTTACAAATATAAACCTTTGATGCTATAACACAGTACCAATTTCTCTTATCTAGAGACTATTTGAAAGATGCCACTATAAAGGGATCTCCAGTAACTCATGTCCACAGAAAGCACTGTCTCCATTACAGAACGTCAGGGGAAAATACTATGTTTTGCTCTCATGTGTCGTATTCCATAGATGACTACACTGATCATAGATAATAGAAAATACAAGTTACTCATTGTAGTACTGACTGGAAAAGGAAGGGATAACGTATACCTATGTGTGTTCTGTGAGAGATTCATAAAATGTGGTGGATCCACAGTGAGACTGTGGGGCTCAGACCCTCGCTCTACCACCCAGTAGCTATGTGAGCTGCGACGATGGTTGTGCTCTCTACTATGGCCCTCTCAGCAGTGAGCACACGAGTAAGAGGACTTATGTCATGGAGCTGGTGTGAAAATTAAAGGAATCAATCCATGTAAGGTATCTGCAGGTCTTTGGTATATAGTAAGACTTCAATAAGTGGCATTTATAATTATTGTTATTATTATTACAATCTTGTTATTAGTATTGTTACAAGCAGGTTTCTGTGAATGAAAACATTATATCACAAACTCATGTATCTAATGAGTGAAACTCTGACTTGCATATTTGTAATTTGCTAGGGTCCTCCTGGCCGAAGTTTCTTAAGTTTCTTAAAAATTTCTTAAATTTTTCTTGAAATGTGCTTGTACCCTCCAGACCAAAAAGAGCTGCAATTCAAACAGCCCATGTTATTTTCTGAGAATCTTTTCATACTCCTTTTGGCTTAAGCTCCTATTCAAAACTCCAGGAGAAAAATACTTTTCCTTTATGCACGCTGAGCATAATTCATTAAAGTGAATTTATTAAGAGAAAGGAGCCCTGGCTGGTGTAGCTCAGTGGATTGAGCGTGGGCCTGCGAACCAAACAACCGAGGTTTGATTCCCAGTCAGGGCACATGCCTGGGTTGCTGGCCAGTTCCCAGCAGGGGACGCATGAGAGACAACCATACACTGATATTTCTCTCCCTCTCTCCTTCCCTTCCCCTCTAAAGATAAATAAATAAAATCTTTTTTAAAAAGAGAGAAAGAAAATTCAATGATGTGTTCTGTAATTGATATATTATTATAACGAAAATATTCACGAAATTTCTTAACTTTCAAAAGTTCTCAAAGATTATTCTAGAACGTTAGCACTAGCCCTGTAGGACAGGTCTTTCTCTGTAAGAATCTTTGATTGATGTGGCCGCACTGGGCAGGCATGATATTTTTATTGTCTACCTCATTATTCCCAGTGTTCAATTCAATGCCCTCAAATTATCCAAGTTTAATATTATTGTTTAATAAATAAATGAGCCGTCAGTGCTGCCACTGCTCACCGCTTTCACCTGTAGACAGAATGGTCCTTTGCCCTTTAACCAGGGTTTGTTGTACCTGAAAAGGACAGAACTAACATCCTACTACACCTTCCTCTGACCCCCAGTGACTGATTAAAACTGAAAGGAAACTTACACAAGCCAATTTGAGCTGATCCTCTGTCTTAGGAAATTTATTTAGTGGACACAAAAGGTGTAAACAGTGAATAGGGGCCCAACAGTGGAAACATCAGGATGCAGAGAGAGAGGCTGGAGAGGAGCCGTCCTCATAGGCTGTGGGATGAAAGAACTGAGGACACTTTAAAGGGTTTGAGAGAATGAAGAGGAGAAACCACAAAGAATTCAAAAGACACAGAAACAGAGAGACTGAGTGTCTTCTGAGGGACAGATAGGAGAGTTGATCATTGATTTGCTAGTTCAGTTGCATGAAACATGGAGTGTTTCTGGCCGAGAGTGGCCATGTGTTTTTAACAGTACCAAGTTGAGATATGTATCATAAGGGATAGTTTTGAAAAGCTATCGGTTTCATTCTGCCAAATAAAGAACTGTGAATTATTTTTAAAAAAAGATTCCATGGCCATTTCTGCCGCTTTTAAAACCACACTGATTTTTCTACACTGCTACTACTCATAATTTCCAGTACTTTCTGATTCATATTTGACATCTGATCATTTTCTATATCACTTCTAGAAAAAAAAATTTTACTGAAATGTATGCATGCTCAATTTAATTTTTCATCAAGTTGATTATCTTATACCCACATCATTTTATGTATAGATCTCTATTTTAACGAATTAGTCAGCAACTCAGTGAACATAATATATTGTATTCTTTCATCAGACTTTAATTAACATACCAAATAAAACAATACTACCACCAACTCTGCTTATCCATATTAGTTACTACAATATATTTATATTATTTAGAACCATCTTTTTCATTTTGCTTTCCTGTAACTAACTCACTTCTGCTTTAACCTAAAATCTCTTTGATCTAAACCATATTTTTATAATGTTTGGATATACACCCTGTGACGTAAAACCTTTAGTCTCACTAAGGTGAAATCGTATTACTTTTTGCTCCTTCCCCTCATCTTCTAGGGTATGAAACTTCATACTCTCACATGAAAAAAAAATCCAATTTAAGTCAACAGAACTTGTCAGCTTGGGTGAATTATCACAATATGCCATATATTGCCTAGTTTAAAGGGCTACCTTTCCCTTTGTCCAGCTCCTCTGTCTGCAGGCGGTCTTTACATTTGCCCTTTCTCGGGCTTTAGGGGGTGCCCTCCTTGTGAGTAAATTCTCAGCAGTAGGATAGTGCTCTTCAGTGACTGCAAACAATTCCTTAAACATACCAAGACAGCAGCAGGTGTATGGTGGAATCCGTCTAACTCATTAAAGTAACCCACAGTCCCAGCCAGGTAATGACAACCACCCACGTCAGGCATCACCTACAACAGCTGGCAGAATACAGTTGCCCTTCCAAGTGAAGCCAAGAGTTTTAAAGGTAGTTTAAAAAATATTTTCCAGGTTAGTTGGCAAGAACCTTCCTTTTCCAGAGTCCTTTTTAAGTACTGTGCTTAGCTTATCTTTGTGATGAAAGACTTTTGTATATTCCTTTATTCCTTACACAGAGTGAATCCCAATTCATTTTGTGTGTCTAGGCAGCTGTTCATAGGATTCCATTAAATCTCTGAGAGCAGAAGATGTCAAATTTCTCTCATAAATAATGGTGAATAAGAAGTCAAGGTTTTTAAATGGTACAACCACCCGCTTTTCCAGATGTTAGCTTTG